TAAAAAAAAAGAAAGGAAAGGGCTTGAAATGCAACACTCACGGTTTCAGAAAAGATACTGATTTATTCCTTTAGTAATCCTCCTTATATACATTTCATATGTTTATTTACATTCAGGACGGTATTAAGGCTGATATCGCCGGTCTCCGGTCTTTATCTTATATATATATATATATATCTATTTATTTATTTATTACCGATGTTAGGAAACCTTATATACCGTTCTTGCAGTAAATAAAAATATTTTATCGTCAGAATTAAAATTTTTCACTAGCATTTTACATTTTAAACAGCAAACAATAAATCTCGTGCATGTCTCTAAGAAAAACATACACACTATTTACTACTGTTAATCTAATTTTGATGAAATTTTCTCAGATTGTTTGGGTTTGCTACCTAGACGAATTTTATTGGTATTTTGGTACCTAAATGATTTCAACTGGTATTTTGGTTACTAGACGATTGATCCATTTCATCATGTTAACCAAGTCTCTAAAAGGCCTTTTCATTATCAATATAGTTGTTTAAGTATATACCCTGTACTATATGAGATTCCTTAAGAGAGGAAGAGCTAAAGCTATAGCTACTAAACAAAAAAAGAAAGAAGAAAATCGGTTGAGAAACCAGAAGAGAAAAAAGAACTGAAATTTGTTTTTGAAAAAATTTCGAGTCGCGCAAAATTGCTTTTGTGTATGCAAATACTAATGTGAATTCAAGAGCATACTGAACTGAAATTATGTATGTAAGTTATATGAGTCACTTTATTCCATACATTTTACAATTTTATCAAATATAAATATGATTCTAACGATTTTATTTTAACCCGTTATGTGAATGTAAACTTTAATGGAATTTAATATCAGGCAGGTATTTTTCCTGGTAAATTAATCAGACATAATTTAATTCTCTAAAATATCTTTATTATACATACCTCTATGCGTTTCCACACTTCCGTAAAAAATCTTGGGGCAATGTTTGATGAACATCTGTCTGGGAATAATCACATTTTCCAAATTATCTGAAAGTCCATCGCTACCCTAAAACACTATTCAGAGATTCTGTGACTCTATGTCCATTTAAATCCGTCAGCTTTTAGATCTCTATCATTTCCCTCATGATTATCCCTCATGCTGCTTTCTTTACGGTGGACTTTCTTATCCTTATCCTTGGAGTCCCCAGGAACTCTCACATCTTCAGTTGCTATGCCAAGTTGAAGTGGCTCTATCCAGTTTTCCGACGGCAATAATTTCTAGGTGGATTCCTTTTCCGAAACTTTCCAACCAAAAAACCTTCTTGATTTCTATACTATATAGCGTTCAACACGAGATCTCAATCCTCAAATTTGTATTTTTCTTCTCATCTAACTGTTTCCTTTAAAAAATCCTTCGTCATACGTGCTACCTCGTTTTGGAATTCCCTATACGGATATCCTCATTCTTGACATCAGTCAAACAAAATTTATTCTTCATCCCCTCAGTAATCAATCTTCCGAATAAATGTAAAAATAAAGTTCTTTTGTTCTTTAGAGATGTCAGCTACATTATACTGATATCTTGCAGGACTCACTCCTATTTATTTATCTTTTTTTTTAAACTTCTTTATTGAGATATAACAATCTATCACATTCAAGGACAATAGTAATAGTGATATAGAGTAGCTCATATATTTATCTTTAAATTCATATGTTTACTTCAAGATATTTACTACAGTGTCCTTTCTGTATTTTAATATTAAGTTAGACAACTAATATATTTACTACAGTGTCTTTTCTGTATTTTAATATAAAGTTAGACAACTAAATTAATTTATTTTCAATTTACATTAATTGCCAGACAATTGTCATTTCTTTGTTCATTATAGTCATTCTGAGGGGATTAAATGTCCCAGAATAAAATTTACTTTCTTTCTTTCTTACACAAAGATTTTTCGATGACAGTGATACGAAGTAGTAGTCGAAAACAACGGGTGGTTTTTTAGTTGTTTGAGTTTGGTATGGGGTATCTAGGTAACTCGTTTGTTCAACAGTGGTATTGTTGAAGGATACTGTAGGTCAGGAAGTCATAGGTTTACGCCGAAGAGTAAAAGTAATTTGGTGGGATTTATTAAAATTTATTTTAATATTACAGTTTTGACACCATTTTTCGAGGCTTGTGATGAATGATTGAAGAGTTTGGGATGCAATAGATGGATCGTTATTAACTGATAGGATACACGTGTCATCGGCATAGGTGGTGATGACAGCATTGGATATGGTTGGGTTGTCAGCTGTATAAACTGTGCAAAGGATAGAACCTAGGATACTACCTTGAGGAAGTTAATATTCAAATTTTATTTATTTATTTCTAATAATGAATGCTTCTAAACCACTTATTTCAGCCAATATACAATATTTACATTACACAATAAAATAAAATTAACAATAAACCTGGAGGTAGCAAAGATTAAAATTTTCAAAATGTCCAAAAAAAACCTTTTTAACTTTGTTAAACATTTCTCTTTTTTTTTTTTTGACCATCCTTTATTTTTAGGTCATCATTTGATTTACTTGTGAAATATTCAAATTTAATTTAACTAAATGGACAAACGAGGGAAATACAACAAACAATTTTTATTTAACTTATCAATTAAATTTCAGCAACAGAATTGCTGGAAAAAGGGGAGCTGGACCAAATAAATGCAGATAATTAAAATAATATACTTATAATTCAAAGAGCTTAAAATATTTTATCCACGAAATAGAAACCGAAATCCACGAAATTATACTATTCAATACGAACAAAAGATAATTGATAACTTTATAACTTCTTAAATTCTCAACTTTAAAGTGGGTAGTGACTTTAACGCCGAGCACCAATATTGGAGGTTACGGTAAACCAAGAAGAAGAATCATAGGGCTGCTATCGATTAGTTTTCGTTTGACACTGTATCACCTGATATACAGACATATTGGCAAGCTTTGCAACGGATTCTTAAGCATGGGACATATAAGACATTTTTTATTATTACAGGAATATATACCATATTTTACACCATACATACAAGCTCTGATATTTGCTCTGACCATTCACTTATAAATTTGGTTATCCTAGATGAGCCCAAGACTCTTTCAAGAACACCAAAGGTACTTATTAATCAATCAATGACCTAAGATATTTACAAGGCATTTCTGGATTCATAACTTTTAATACCCAACTCAATTACCAATTCAAACCAAAGAGCTGGAAGAGAAAGCGGACAAGTTTACATAGAGTCCAAAAAAGCATTTTGGACTTATTCTCATTCGATGCCATTAGTGCTGCCCAAAATCGGTCTTGGTCCTGCAGTTTGCAAGTCCAAGACTAAGACTTCCTCACTGTTGCAAGACCAAGACCAAGACTGGTAAAAGAAAATCGATTTTTTGAATAAAAATTAAGACAAAATATTTACTAATGCTTGACAATTTTAGATACTAAATGTATAGAATTGGTGTAACAAATATATTTTTGCATATAACTCTTCTAATTTTTCATTCGGGCTTAGTTAGGTTTCTCCTGTGTAAAAAAATACAGTAATATATCGATAGTACTAAGCTAATAGGTAATTGCAAGACCGTTGCGAGATTCTTGAGCAAGACCAAGACCTAGACCAATACTGAGTTTGCATGTGCAAGATTCGTTTCGGTCTCGAATTTGGGCAACACTAGCTGTGATGAAGGATTGAACGCTTGCCAACGGAAATAGTAGAGCTCTGAGGTATGGTAGACAAACAGACTTCCCTCAGACGAACATGTAACATACTAAATAATTTACATGAATGACTAATACAAAATTCAGTAGAATAAACTACTGCTTACTTGAACAGCAATTGAGGATCGAGGTTTGTGGAACCATACCAAGATTTTGTTAAAACATCGAGAGGTGTCAGTACTTCATCGGATGGGGAAAAATCTAAACTATTTTCTTATCATCTTTTAGCTGTATTTACACAATTTACTGACTTTACGAACACAGAACATGAAACTTCAGTACTTAATACTCCTTCAGAGGTCGCTTAAAAATCAAACTATTTCCTAATAGAAAAACCCCAGGTCATTACTTAATAACTGCCGAGACGCTCCAACAAATGCCCAGAAAAGCTTTAGTGTTCATAAAAACAATATACAACTGTAATCTGAGGAAAACTGAATTTTCATCGAAGTGGAAATATTCAAATATCAATATGATATACATGAGAAACAAAGACATTTTCAATGCGTCATAATTTAAATTTCGAAAGAGAAGAGGTGCCCAGAAGAGGTTTTTATGGCGCAAGTTGTGCCATCAAAATTCATGAGGGGGACACATTTCGACGGGGTTATGAATTCTCAAAATGAAATGTTTCAATTCAAAAGATGAGTGGAATCATGGAACAGACCACAGGATGTGTAACGGTATTTTATCTACGAATATTCATATCTATTTGCACTGTTTTTAAGAAGCAGAAAGGAATAAAACATCTTCGGAGAGATAGGGGAAGGTTTATGGGTTCGGTCTGTTAAAAGTAATTTTACTAATATCGATCATATGTTATATCGATTATATGAATTAAAAAAAAGAAATATATTATAAACACATGTTTTAGTTATAACCCTGTTCTTTCTATGAAGTAGTGTTGTTAGTTTAATAAAGATTGATTTTGCTTAGTTTACAAAAGACTTGTGGTTTATTAAATGTTATACACTTAATAAGGAAACCCATAAACCATTAATAACATCAACACGGTATTGGGGAGGGGGCACCCCTGGTTTAATGAGACACGTGCCCACCAGTTTATATCATCGAACTACTTTCCTTATTTAAACATGTAAACAAATACCGAGAAGTGCTGCTGTGTACTATACTTCCTCATGCCTATAATGACATTATTACTTATTACGTAAAATCTGCTGATAGTAACTTTCATTACAGATGCGAATGAAGTTCTATATAGAAAAAATTAAATAAAAAAATAAATAAATTAGATATGATATATTTGCAAACATACCGGTAGCTTCAAGCACTGTATCTGTGTTGTTGCAAGGTGTATCGAGGTCAGGTTGAACATCGGAACTGCATACCTTCTGCTGGATAAAATTAGGAATGATAGCTCCATAGATCCCAATAGCGAAGCAGTAAACAAACACGGATCCGAACAAGCATATCAGCTGAACTGTCGGGTGCATTTTGGAAAACTATCTGATCGTGTCAGTTTATCTATTTTGCAATCTTGAGCATTATTCATCAAGTAAATGTTAAGATAAAACTAATATAAATATCTTTGAGCAGTAGAGAATAGACATGTGTAATTTCAGATAAGAAAAATAACTCGAAACAACGATTACGTTCTTGAATATACTACGTTTTAAAAATTCAGTCCAAACATTTTTATAAAACTAAAAAAATATTCCATATAATTTCGGTTGTACATATCACGATGTTTCATGAAGCAACCGGTGAACCAAACGATGACGGCGTTGAACCACCGGTCACAGCTGTACTGATGTTGTACCGTACGGCGGTCGCCAAAGTCAAGGTTGTCCCCCACTTTTTGCTATCTCTGTTCCCGTTTGCGATTTCTCTTAGACAGTGTTGCCAGCCCTGTTGAACGCAGATGTACTAGTCAATGTATAATGCACTAATAATAGACGGTTTTCAACTCATTAACAAAAACTAAGCTTTAATATCCCCTTTATTAACTATTGAATCATCATTTAAAATATATAAATAATAATTGTGATGTTATAGTTGTATAGTGAATAATTGTATATGGTTGGTGTATTCAGTTAAAAATAACCAAATTAAAAATAAATAAATGATATTTATTTAATATTTAATCTATGCTGATGATCTGGTACTGTTAAGCGAAGACGTTGAAACTATAAAACTAAATACGACAATTTTAATAAAAGCCGGTAAAGAACTAGGACTCGAAATAAACGTGGATAAAACAAAATATATGGTTAGCTGCAAAAATGGCGATACTACTGGTGATATCGATATAAATGGTAATATGCTTGAACAAGTAGATAAATTTAGGTATCTAGATTCTAAGATTCTACGATAACTATAAAAAACGAAATTGAAGAAGAGATTAAGGTTAGACTGAAGGCGAGAAATGCTTGTTATTTTTCTGTGACTAGATCGCGCCTCTTGTCCCGGAACTTAAAAATTAGAATCTATAAAGCAATTATCCTACCTACAGTTCTTTATGGATGCGAAACTTGGCCGCTTACATTAAGGGATGAGCAGCGTCTTAAGGTTTTTGAAAATAAACTATTGCGTAGAATATTCGGACCGAAGAAGGATGAGTTAACCGGAGAGTTTAGACGGTTACACAACGCCGAATTGTGTGAACTGTATCCGGGTAATATAATTGAGGTAATTTCATCGCGGCGAATCAAATGGGCTTGTAAAGTTGTTGGACTTAGTAACGAGAGGATTAATAAAAGGTTAATATTTGCTGTGCCGAATGGTAAGTGTCCGAGGGGTAGACCAAAGCGAAGGTGGGAAGATTGCATTAAAGCCGATCTGAAGGGACTGGGTTTGGACGGCGAACGGTATAGAGAGGTGTGTAATAAGCGATTGGTGGTGTCAGCATCGAACCTTCGGGTTTGCTAAGCCTTTTATTATTATTATTATTTAATATTTAATAGTTGACCGTTGCATTATAAAGGAAGTAGATGGTTCTGGGTGGCGGTCATAAATTGGCTAAATAGTGGCAAAACTATTTTATTAAAAGCCAACGTTTCGACCCGACTTTGCAGGTCTTCTTCAGGGCTAGCACGGACAAGATACAAAAAGATAGAGAATTGTGGAAGTTACATAATATTTACACAAAAAATTATAAACAATATGAATAAGCTTATTAAAATTATAAACAGTAAGTAAATTAAAATATAAACAGAGTAAGCTAAGTAACAAGATCCTAAAGTGAAGTAAATAGATGGTAATAATTGTTGTAGTGTAATATATAACATAAGCAAATGAGAGAATTGGGAAGTTACATAATATTTAGACTAGAATATTAAAAAAGCATTAGCATATATTATATATTACACTACAACAATTGTTACCATCTATTTACTTCCGTTTAGGATCTTGTTACATAGCTTACTCTGTTCATATTTTAATTTACTTACTGTTTATAATTGTAATAAGCTTATTCACATTGTTTATAATTTTTTGTCATAATATTATGTAACTTCCACAATTCTCTATCTGTTTATATCTTGTTCTTTCTAGCCCTGAAGAAGACCTGCAAAGTCGGGTCGAAACGTTGGCTTTTAATAAAATAGTATTACCACTATTTAGCCTATTTATGACATCCATCCCGGACCATCTCCTTTCTTTATGATATTTGTTTTTATTTTTTTCCGACGTTTCGGCCAATAGTTCAGGAGGTAATGTTATTAAAAATAATAATATTATTTAATTAATATAATTAATATTTTTTTTTTTCATAATTTAATAGGTTATTATATTGTTATCTGGTATTTTTTCAGACCTGATGAAGGCCTGAACTTTGGACCGAAAAGTTGGTAAATATAAAAATAAATATCATTTATTCATTTTTAATTTGTTTAATTTTTATTTATTTTTTTATTTTTGACTGAAAATCCCAACCAACTTCTCTTCTATAAATAATAATTCAAGTATAATGAATGAAAATTGGATTTTTATGCTAAGAGGAGAGTTGATATACCTTAATTAGAGGAAGTGCATGCTAATGGGCTTTGCACGCTATGCAATATGAAACATAAAGATAATGCAGTTAAATTGTTGGCTATTTGTCCTATATTAAGAGAGTTTATGCTAAAATGTTTAGGAAAAATTAATTTAAATCGAGAAGAAATTTAAATAATATTTAGAATATTTAAATGTAAAGAGTTAGATTACTCTAATCCGATATTGTAAGGATGCTTGGATTTATAGGTTTCATTTTATACGTGAATTCGATGGTTTATTATACTTGTAAGATTTACATAATATGTATGCACTGTTTTTACCTGTTATCTTTGCTCTATTAAATATTCTTACTATATTTTTTTGTTATATCACTATACATTTATGTGATTTTAGCGTATAATTTGTGTTTAATATATTTATGATTTATAATTCCCCTTGATTAATGTTTGATTAATTATTATATTATCTCATTATAATTATTCATTAAATAATTATTATATTTTTTACTTGTTAACGCTATATTTTTTTTTCTAATATGAAATAAGAATTATATATCTAACTGACTATTTATAAATTGTTATATGATTTATAATGATATATTTTAAAGAAAAATTACTAAATTAAAATTTGAAAACTTAATGTTTGACCGTTGTATATTTTAGAGGAGATGCTCCGGGGTGGCGGTCATAAAGAGACTGAAATAGTGGAAAAACTATTATATTTCAAGCCTACGTTTCCACCTGACTTTGCAGATCTTCTTCAGGGAGGCACTAACCGGAAGTGGTACTTAATATAATCGATGAAACACATTTTCTCGAAAACGGTTCCAACGATTATGATTAAATTCATTATACAAGTGTAAAATTAAGCAGCTTATAAATTTATGTAGAGTTTCTTCTCATTGATGTTCTTTAACATGGCTTAAATAGCTAATTTTCAATGCTATCTTCGTCTAAAGTACCTTTATTTTTTTTATTTGAAATAATTAACCATTTCACATTGATCTCTACTATAAAAAATAGTTAAATATACAATATGAAAAAAATAATATTTAACTAAAGGAGAAGTAAGATATCGTAACTAAGAATAATTGTAACTAGTAGGACCGTGCGAAAAATTCGCACAGCATATTGTTATCAAATGCCAGATTAAGAAGAAAATAAAAGAATGTAACCTATCAAAAGATAAATAAATCAAACGTTACTTTATCGATAAATATAATCGACAAAGAAAACAAAAATTAGTTTAAATCTTCATTTTTGTTTGGAACCAACATGTTTAAAAATTTCAGTAAGCTGTATCTTTGCTAAAAATTGTCCGATTTTGATGATTTTTTTTTCTCCTTTTGTAGGGAATTTAGTAATCTTTTATACAATCACGGGCATAAAAAAGGGAAAAGTGGGTGTTTTTTTAGTAAACACCCACTTTTTTAACTTGTTTTCCTGAATTTTCGGGATGATTGGACTATTTTGTCCGCCTGAAGGAGAAGGAAGCCTTCGAAAGTGGTGGCTCAATCTTGAGATTTGGTGAAAAATTGACAACGATATGGATTGCCGATTAAAACGCCATCGATAAATAATATAAGCTCCTCCTCTCTCGATCATAGAGACCTCAAGTCGACAAAATGAGACATGTATTCAATGACAGTACTACAATTAATGTAAGGTTGTGTGGATGCGAACCCTATGCCTTGCGTTATCTCGAAAATAGTACGTTTTTGGACCTAAAAACGCAGGATCCGATAGTTCCGAGGGAACTATCCGGGTTTTGCTGTACGCATCAAAATCTTCTAGATCCAATTTGTCCCGTATCGATCTACAGACCTACCATTGTTCAGGTATTGAAGCCTAGCAAAATGTTTGTATCGACTTTATTTATTTTAGAAAGAAAAACAAGAGTGGAAAATATGATTCGTTAACCCCCCGTGAAATTCTGAATCCAACGATATCCCATTCATCGTATTTGTGCATGACAGGAGCTTATATTTGGTACAAAACCGATTTCGAGCCTTACTGTAATAATATATGTATGGATGAAGGAACAAAAAGGATGCGAAAGCGCACCGAAGATTAGAATAGGCTTTCATAGTAATATGAGGTTACTATCTTCGACTTAAGACTTCGACAATATTATGTACATATACATATGCGGTTTTCCTAAATGTTTTCGTTGTTATTATTTAATATTTAATTGTATAGATTACAGTGATATAAATATAGAAAAAAAATTATATAAGGGTACTTAAAAAAATATCCACAATGAAATATAAATAAATATAGCGTTCATAATTTTTACTTTCATTTCCTGCTTGTCTGAAAATACTTATTTCTGCTAAGAAAAGGGTATGAAGTGAAAGCTGTGTCATGCGCGCACCGCACCAGAGTTTTATTTTATAAAAAAAAACATATTGATCCTAAAACCTGAGTGTCTATACTGATGCTGATGTAATGTACGCTGTCAGAATTTTCTATTTTTCTTTTAGAAATTAGAAATTATTTTAGAAATAATTAACAAATTGACTTTATAGTAAACAAAAATCGATAAAAGACTAAATTTTCTGACAATTAAACCCTTTTTAAAAGACCCTCTATTACAAATAAATCTGTGATTTACATTCATGTTGAAAATTTTTCTTAAAGTTTGCAAATAAATTTAAATTTAAAAAATATTAAATTTGAGGAATGGCAAATTGTGTGCAGGATGTCTTTTTCACTTGTATTTTGTTGGATGTTTATTCTTTCTTATCAGTGATCAGGCCACTTTATATTTTGTACATTTTGATAAGGTCTGAGGTTTTTTTTTATCTCACAACTCTTTATTTATTTTGAGTAAATTTCAATCAAATAAATTCGTTTGACAAAGATATTAACTTGTTTACAAGTGTAAAAATGTTAAAATTTTATGCTGTTATTTAATATAATTTTCAATACTACTTAACAATCGTACTCCAAGATTATAGTCGATATCATGATGGCATTCTGAAACTCATTTCTTTGTTTCAGAACTAATAATAATAATAATACTTTATTTATTCTGGGACGAGTCCCTTTAGAATAAAACAGGAAGACAGAAATGAGGGCTAATGAGCCTCAGAGATACATAAATAAAAACTTGCTGCATTATTTTTTTTTTATTTTTTTTTTTGTTTGTGTGTTATGTTTTTATCTATTTACGATTTTATGGGGACTGGATGGATAAGAAATGGTTGAACAGGCGGAATTGAAAGGTAGGAAGGGTATTAGATTGACGGATGAATTCAAAATTAAATTTTTTTTGGGGGGGGGGGGAGACTGGAGGCACTAGCGGATCCAGGATTTAATTTTGGGGTGGCTTCAGCCGAGAAGCTTTTTTTTTTCATAAAAATAACGATATTTATTTTGGAAAAACAGAAAGAAACTAACTACCTATATGAAATGGTGTTTAAGTGATACCTTAAGTACTTTTAAATGTAATTACACCAACAATAATACTTTAGGAGGTATTTTTTAATTTTTTTTCCCATAAAACGTGGTTATGTTTTACCATTTTGGGGGGGGGGGCTTCAGCCCGAAAGCCCCCCCCCCGTAGATCCGCCCGTGACTGGAGGGGAGGGGAGAGCTTATATATATATATATCATCCGATTAGTGGATCTCGAGAATTGTCTTCTACTTTTCTCTGTCCCAAGCAGTTCACCAGTTCTTGATTACCAGAATGTTGGCTTCGCCACAAACTCCATCTATCTATCACTGCTCCTGTTTTCACATTTATATTTTCCCACCTTGATATATGCTGAGCAGTTTCTTTGGATTTAAGGTGTCGTCCATCCGTACAACGTGGTCCGCCCATCTTAATGTTGCTACCCGGATATATTTCATTATATTCGGTTCCTTGTATAAGGTTATATCTTATTTTCCATTAATTATACTCCTTTACTGGCCCGAAATGTTCTGAATTATCTTTCTTTATCACAACCAGTATTTTTCTCTAACTAGGATTGTTCATTATCTGCATAATTATCTGTAGTACTACCGATCCTAAAAATTTAAACTGTAGGTACTTTTTCAAAATTATGTTAACCAACTTGGATGATTGTGTCTGTATGACGGCTATCAGTTGTCATATACTCGACATTTTTCTCGTTGACGTCAAGTCTCATCTCCACTGCTGCTGAAATAAATGTGAATGATGGATGGAATTAGGAAGGTCATTAATATAAATGAGGAAAAGAGTTAGTGAGAGCGAAGATCGCTGAGGAACGAGAAATGTTATTAAGACCGGAGAGGAAGGAGTTTTATTGGCAATGATGAGTGGTTGGGATATTTGATACAAAAAGGAATGGAGCCACTTTGTAGCACTATTTGATATGGAAAGGTTTTAGAGTTTGGTAAGAAGGATTTCAAGATTAACCGAATCAAGAGCCTTTGAAAAATCAAAGAAAACCAGGATAGAGATTCTCTGTTTGTCTATGGAAAGGTTCAGGGAAATTTTCTGCAAAGCGGATTGGATTTTTCATAGTATTTTTTTCCTGATCAGCTGTTTCATTATAACCTTCCTCAGGTGTGTTACCTTACCTTCCTTCTAGATCGGGATTGGGTGTCATGGAGTGATCTACGATTTGTTTTTTTCTTCTGTCCTGACTTGACCTGAATTGGAATAAGGTTAGCGGGTTTTTTTTATTATTTGTTTGCATTTTGGAGACTTAAGTCAATGTGGTTGGAAATTTTTCTAATTTTAATCAAACATTTTTTTTTTTTTTTTAAATCTCTGCCAATGTTAAAAAAGGTAACATGACACATAATAAGTAAGAATTTGAAAGTATTGTAGTGATATATACTTACTATGTTTTAGAACCCATATATATCCAAAAACAAATACATAAATAATAATAAAGTAGTGCAAATAATTATCCAGTAGAGGTAACAAAACAGGAACAGCAATTAGAGAGTTTTAACAACTTGTACAGCATACCGTGGCGAAAATTCATTAAGGAACATTTTAATGAATTTGAGATAATAGAATTTGAAGTGTCTTAAAGAATTCGTTAAATAAATACTAATATAGCAATTTGATAATTTATTTTTTGTAATTTACAATTCTAAATATGTACTATATTTCGGACAACTAATTAAAATACTTGACATATAACTATCATGGAATAAAAAAGAAAACAAAAAATCTAAAACCTCGCTGCACACAGTAACTTTTTGCACACTATCATAGTTAAGCAAAACACTAACTTACTATTATATTTTATAACCTTGTAAGTACATAAAATATGATTTAGACCCAACTCAATTACTTAGTTTTATTAACCATCTGATCAATTAATTCAGTAAAAGAAGTCATTAAGGCTATAGTAAATTTTGCCGATCTACTTTAACGTTAATTAGAGTACAAGAATTTCATTAAGTAACTTGATGACTTTTTGCTCTGTAAAATCAGATCATCGTGCACTTAGTGAAACTATTTTTTACGTCTTAAAGGATTTTTATTATTTTTATGCACTTAATGATTTATTTTATGGATAAATATGTAGTAAATTAACAACTACGTGTCTTCAAAAGAGCAGTTACGTATCTTCGTCGACCAAAAGAGCAGTTAGTGACTTTTTTCAATAAACTGAAGATATATTATATTTGAATAAAAATAATAAGAAACGCATAAAATGATAATTTAGATTTCTATTTAATGAATTTTCACTATTTTAACAGCATCAATTGTTCCTGAACAATATAAAAATTACAACTACCATGCAATATTCTTTTAAATTTGAAAAGTAAACTCATTTCAAACGATAGTGTATACAACAAGTGAACCATAGTGGTAAATACCACAGTAGTGATTTACAATACTAGACATATTTTAATTCTGACATTTAGTCATAACCACTTATATAACTTCATAATTTAGGTGTGAATGACATCTGTTGTTGTAATATCTTAAAATAAATATGATACTGATATGATACTATATTAATCTAGGCTATGATCTGATAGTACTAATTAAAAAAAAAATCATTTAAAAGCAAATTAAAATTCTATGTATAAATGTAAATATTAAGGCAGGAAAGGATATTCAACATAATTAATTATAGTTTTGGTTGATTGAGTTCTCGTGTCCATTACAACCTTCTTGTTAGTGAACCTGGCAGTAATGAATAAATACAAACATCTGAGGAAATAATAGAAAATTTCTAGAAAACTTATCAAGCTGGATCCAAGAAGCAGGCTTGCGTATCCTCCCACTGCCGCTGAAACAATGATAGTTATTTTAATGGATCATATAAAAAAATAACAAAGATAAACTTGATTGGTTCAGGGAAACCAATCCAAAATATATACAAAAATATTTAAGGTGGTATTGAATGAGAATATGATTTAATGTTTTCAACAGAAAAGCTCTATTTCTTGGTTCAGAATAATGGTAAATCGAACAAGAACATAAAAATTGGAAATAGAATGCTTCGTTAATTAAATCGTTAATCAAGAATGAATTTTATAAAATTCAATCGACTAGTCGAAAAAAATAATCTGGCGTGTCCACTCACACGACTTTCCTACCTATTTCAGAAAAGTTTTTATATCTTTACATATGTCCATCAAGATACAAATTGAAATTTAATTAGATTTATTTTCCTGAAAATTTATCAAAGAATAGATTTATTCGATAAACTTAAGCAATGTAAACCTGCTTAAGATAGATTAGTGTAAAAATTTCAATACCCTCCAATATTGCTGATCAAAAACTTTTTGCCATAGCTTAATTTTGTCAAACAATAATTTATGATAAAAGTAGAGGAAATAGTGAACCTTGTGTGACGTGGGCAACAGATTTTCTTACTTTCGCTTAGTTATCTTTTTTCTCTCGTTCACACCTTTCTGACACCAAGATATGAACCCATAATCTCACATTGAAAATTGAATAGCTGTGACTTCGTTCATAGTTATCCGAGATGAATTATTTTTATACAGTTTTTTACTGCAAATTAAAAAAAATAACCAACAAAATTGGTTCTCTATTTCCTGATAAAATCTTGGCACAGACAAACAGATAGACCAATGGCTAAAAATGTGTTTTTTTCGAACTCTGGAGGCTGTGAAACGTATAGAAACGTCAAAAACCACATATCGAAAATTTGACTAGAATGAAATACTTTCGTATCTAGTATAGGTAGGAAAGAAAAAAACACAATGTTCATCGTTGGTTAATATATTGATATAGCAGAAATATCTTGGGGTGCATACAATTAGATATACTGGGGCCAAAGTGTCTGAGTGGGAGAATGAAAAACGCAATGAATGTTAAGCAACGTCAATGATCCTTCCTTGGGTATTTGAGCCCATTCGACCTACTGGAGGCAACTCATACCAACCAGACTTAGAAGTGATGAAGCTACCTCCCTGTAATTTAATCTGAATTCGTGATTTTTTTTTTCAGGCTGTCAGTAGCCCATTTGGGAATGGTCCATTTTCGATTTGTTTCAGGGAAAGAAATATTATTCCTCGTGCTCCTGCTGACTCTTTGAGACCATAATCCATGGATCATGATCGATTTATCAACTTGGATCGGTGGAAGGACTCTACCATATAAAGATCTATGAATGCTCTGCTGGTGAATCTCGTAGATCATGAGGTTGATAGTAACATGAATTTTGGTGACCCCCTCTAGGCTATCTGTGCTACCCGCAAGCAATATATGTCTGTAAGATAACATGTTCTATTGCGCAAATCGAAATCCGAAAAAAAACATTGGTTTTTGATTAAAAAAATATCTTTTATATCAAAACTTCCAATTTTTAAACGCCATTATCTTTCACCTATTTTTCTACAAACACACAAAGTTTGGATCGATTCCCTTCAGCTAAATTCCATCCAATTAGCCAGTTAAGAAAGTATAATTTTTACCTGACAAATCTCCAAATGTAAATTTCACTTCCTTCCTGTAAGTTTGCCCCCATCTTCGAAAGTAAGTAACATCAAGATGAGCGTATTCATTGGTCGAGAATAGCAAATGGCTGCCAAAAAGCACAATTTTGTAAAATCAATATATATATATATATATATATATATATATATATATATATATATTTATTGTATATATTATATATTATTTATATATAATTTATACAATACAATTTATATATCCTTGTATATATTATATATTATTTATTATATATATATATATATATATATATATTATTTATTGTACATAGAGTGTGAATGTGATCTGTGAACTCTATTATAAATGTCCTATAGACAGATTGTAATATTTTTCAATAAATAAGTTTTAATATATATATATATATATATTAAAACTTATTTATTGAAAAATATTACAATCTGTCTATAGGACATTTATAATAGAGTTCACAGATCACATTCACACTCTATGTACAATAAATAAAATAAATTATACAGAAAAATAATATATATACAATAAATAAGAATAAAATAACCTAAAAATAAATAAATAAAAAGAATACATACACACCTATATATATATATATATATATATAAAATATCATTAAAACATCCTTATCTCATGGTGAAAGGTAGTGTGTCCGTACATAGTTGCTTAATATTGACAGTTAGTCAGGAATGTAATGCTATTATAAGGATAATGGATTATTATCCTGATGTAAAGAAAATATTAAAGAACCTGAGAGAGGTAAGGATTATATAAATAATAAACAAGGATGTAAACAAAGTACAACTTTTGTAACAGCATTTATGGCAGAAGAAGGTAGGTATGTATCAAAGGAACTAGGATCACCTAAGGCTTACCAACCTTAGCAAGAAAAAAATTTATCAGAAGAAAGAACTGAAGAATGAGATAATATGTAGGAGGGATTATAATGGTGTATTTGAAGAGAAGCCCTTTGATGTCAAGTTCTATCTATTGTTTGAACGACATCTAGCAATACTTCTATTGCATACAATTTCTGCTCTAGCAATGTCGCAATGTAGACAGTCTGCCTGTGTAATCGATGGATGGTTGAATGTTTATGGTCATCTTCAATATTGATAATCGGAAACTATTTTATTGTTTGTCAGTATGTTTTTTCAGTCATTTCTAGAATTGTCTCTCAAATATTTTAGAAAAATTGGTAGTAGTATAGAGGTTTTGTATAATAAAAGGTGGAATTGACGCAGTGATTTCTATTAAAAAAAAAGAAATCGTTAATTTTTAGTTGTTAAACGCTAAGAAAAAAATACAATATAAAAACAAAAAAAATGTAATAATAAATAAATAAAAAAAATTGTATTTATACTACGTTGAAGTATTTACTTGAAAATTTTTTAAATTTGTTTGAATAGCCATAAACAAACTTGAAAAATTATTAATTTTATAAAAATAATTTATTATTTATTATCTGAATCTGCCTCTACCCGACAGGGATGGAAATTTTTTCTTCACTCCAGTTTCCTATATTCTATTGTAGAATCCCGTTATTTTTTTAAAAAAGCTCAGCAGAATTTCCACATCTTTCTTGGTATCTTTTAATATTTCCTGAAGAGTACTGTATTTGATGAGTTATAAAATAATTAAATGAATCATTGGACGAATTAATAAATTAATTCACTAATTTATTTTTAAAAAGTTAACGAATAATGAAATACCATATAGCATAAGATTATATAAAAGCTTTAATACAACAACGAGGTATTAAATGAATCTTAAAAAAGTACCAATTACCGCGAGTTATATATGACTTCACCTAAGCGTTCAAAGAATATAAAGAATCACTGATAATATGTTACAGTTATTTCATATAAATATAAAAAAAAAATTATCTCTACCACTACAACCCATAAAGTGAATTTAGGGAAAGTACTGTTTCTTAGTCAACGGTTGTGTAAGGAGGTGATTGGACTGAGATCACTCTCAATAGCCACGTTGTCAAATTAAGGGTTCCCCTTAATAGAGGCTGGGTGTGTCACAGAAAGGTCTCCTGATCCCAGGGTCACCCCATGGGTAATCAAACAGAATAAATATTTTTTCTGCCATGAGCCGGGATTCGACCCGGGAAGTAAATCATTGGAAGATCAGTGACCTACCACTGAGCTACCCCACTTCTATATTTATGTATAAATTATATATATATATATATATATATATATATATATATATATATATATATATATATATATATATATATATAATAGCTTTGTTAGATTTGTCAGTAGGAATGCGAGACGTACCTATGTCTCCCATCTACATCGACTTAGGGTGCCTCTTCCGAACCAGGCTGAATTCTAACCAGAGCCGTTATATTCGAGAATGAATGAATGAGGTACGAAGCTCTTTAACAAGCTTGGCCACCACGGCCTTTAAAATAATCCATCATCAAGACAGTTCGCCACGTTTCTCCGAGACTACTAGATCGACTTCTTTGAGATCTCCAAGAAAAAATTTTTATATATTTTTTTTATTATCTCTTAATGGCATTTACAATTGTATCAGATAAATACATCTAGTAAATTTGAACATATGGATATAATGACATGAAAACACTTGCTTAGTAACTACCCAATGGTAGCACTCTAATGATATGTCTAAATTAGGAGATCACGGGGCCATCTTCTTTTCAGACACCTCGGAGGGTTATCAGGAATTGAAGAAGAAGAAATATTAGAAACGAGAGGGTTGGGATGATTCTGAAGTTTATTATAGAAGGATAGGTATTTGGATTGGGTCAGATCAGAAACATTAAGGTCATTATGAATGGTTTTATTTGTAACAAAGTAAGGAGCATTGAGGATTTTACGAAGGATTTTGGATTGTAAGGATTGGATACGAGAGGAATTCGATGGTTTAGTGGAGCCCCATATTTCAAATCCGTAAGTCCAAATAGGTCATATCATAGTCATGTATATGAGTCGTTTGTAATTAATGGGAAGTTTAGAGCGTTCGTCTAGTAAGTGCTGAAGTAATCGGAAACGTCGAGCGGTTTCTTGTCGTTTCAGTCTGGTATGAGAAGAAAAAAAAAAAAATTTTGATTTTTGTTTTTGTTAATCGTGAAAAGTTTCAATCACTTACTAAGGTGCCGTTGAAAATTGTGTTTGATAATTGACATGAGAACAGAATTTGATACACCGACAGCTCCAAGTATCAATTGTTTGATTGCACTCTTTCATATCTTCCAGATCATACATGTCGAAATTGCGAAGCTTTACTGAAACACGAGTTAAATATTCATTGAAATAAAAAACAAAATTTTTTTAAATATATTATTAATTTTCAAACGAAATGGTAAAATAAAATAAAATTATGTTGTTTGAGTACATTGATGAATAATAATTTTAAAATAAATGAATATGTTTTAAGAAATGATTAAGTAAATGTTAAGTTACCATTCATATTCGCTAGACACTTTGCATGCTCAATACTACAAAATTTGACACCTGCAACAGGAAATAATATATATAGTTTTCTATTTAAGGCGATAGTTATTTATAATAATAATAATAAGGCTTAGCGAACCCGAAGGTTCGATGCCGACACCACCAATAGCTTGTTACACACCTCCCTCCACCGTTCGCCGTCCAAACCCAGTCCCTTCAGATCGGCTTTAATGCAATCTTCCCACCTTCGCTTCGGTCTACCCCTCGGACGCTTACCATTCGGCATAGCAAATATTAACCTTTTAGGAATTCTCTCGTTACTAAGCCCAACAACTTTACAAGCCCATTTGATTCGCCGCGATGAAATTACCTCAATTATATTACCCGGATACAGCTCACGCAATTCGGCGTTGTGTAACCGTCTGAACTCTCCTGTTAACTCATCCTTCTTCGGTCCGAATATTCTACGCAATACTTTATTTTCAAAAACCTTAAGACGCTGCTCATCCCTTAATGTAAGCGGCCAAGTTTCGCATCCATAAAGGACTGTAGGCAAGATAATTGTTTTATAGATTCTAATTTTTAAGTTTCGGGACAAGAGGCGCGAACTAAGTAGTTTTGTCATAGAAAAATAACAAGCATTTCCCACCTTCAGTCTAACCTTAATCTCTTCTTCAATTTCGTTTTTTCTAGTTATCGTAGAACCTAGATACCTAAATTTATCTACCTGTTCAAACATATTACCATCTATATCGATATCACTAGTAGTACCGCCATTTTTGCAGCTAACCATATATTTTGTTTTATCCACGTTTATTTCGAGTCCTAGTTCTTTACCGGCTTTCATTAACGTTTTCGTATTTAGTTTTATAGTTTCAACATCTTCGCTTAACAGTACCAGATCATCAGCATAGCCCAGCACGGATGTTGTCCCACCCAGATCCAACCCTTTCTCGGTTCGCATTACCTCCCTAATGGCACACAAGTTATTTATAATATCTTCAAAATTTTCAAGTGAATTTTTAATTCATTAATAAAATTTATAATTGCTAGGAAATAACTGTATTGCACGCTTTCATCTCCTTTCCATTTTTATTTTTTATTCATATATATATATATATATATATATATATATATATATATATATATATATATATATATATATATATATATGAATATAAATAAATTTAAAAAAATATTTATACCTGGTACTGGCTCGAAAAAGTATGGTACACAACCGCAATTGCTGCGAATAGCATCCCTCCTGCAACTCGCTTGACAGAATCCATTTCGCAGGAAGATGTGAGAAGCTTCTTCTTCTTCTGTTGGTTCCAACCAATAACAATCTCTCACCTTTTAAATAAAATAAAATAACAATTATATTGGTTGAATACAATCGATAGATCTTTATATTAATAAAATAAAAATATATAAATTAGGTCATAATTTACTCACCTTTGCTGGAAGATTTTTTATAGTCTCGTCTGCTAAAAATTTTTGTGGTGATACGATAATTGTATTGATTTTATCACTGGAACGTTTGATCTGGTAGGCATTGGTCACATCTGGTATTTCGTTAGGGTTGTGTATGATTACCTTAAATAGAACTTTTTGTATGTATAAATATAAATCTTATTAATTAAATGTTAATAAATCAATTTAAAAAACTTTGATACACATGTTAGATGAGAGATTTGGATAATAATTTATCAAAGAAAAGAAATGCCTTTTAAATATTTTTTTAAAAATTTTATTAATGATATTTACAACTGCAATATAAATAAAAATACGTCTATTAAATATGAACTATTGAGTATCATAAAATGATCATTATGTCGACATTTGGAGATCATGGGGCCATCTACCTTTCCGGGGCCTCGGATGGTTATCAGAAATCGAAGAGGAAGCAAGGTTAGAAACAAGAGGATGGGGAAAGTACTGAAGTTTATTATGGATGGATAGACATCGTGATTGAGCCAAATCTAAAACATAACGAACATTATGGTCGTTATGGATAATTTTATTTTTAACAAAGGAAGGAGCATTGAGGATTTTACGAAAGATACTTAATTGTAAGGAGTTGATACTAGATGAATTCGATGGTTTTTAGTTGGGCCCGTTAACTCGATTCCATAAGACCAGATAGGCCTTATTATAGTATTTTATATGATTATTTTTTAATTAATTGGAAGCATAGAGTGTTTGCCTACCTATTAAATATTAAAATCCATTCTTGTCATTTTCCAAAAACAATTATTTACAGTCATTTCTTCCTTCACTTTAAAAAAATCTAAATGTTTCATTGGCAGAGAAGCAATATTACAAATTTATTAGTATTCTAAGACAAACAAGAATACGATGTTACGACACTTACGTTATATCCATCATATCTTCTTGCGAATTTCCTGAATCCGTTACCATCTGAAGGGTCTTTTAAGGTTACACCTAAACCAGTATGTCTGCCAGATAAATAGTTTTTCAGAGGGGTGAAATTTCTGTTGAATAATAAAATTTTATTTCCATACATAATATTTTAATTCATCATTACTATATAAAAATTAAGTGCGATACATAAATTAAGATAAAACAAAATATGTTTTAGATTAAGTTGAAGAATTCACCTCAAAAACAGGATTTACATTATAAAATCGTTCATGAAAATAGGCTTAGATTGGTCTCATATTGACCTCAATAAATGGACAGTATATATATATATGTATCATAGGTTGTGGTACAAACCCATTTTAACAAAGTGTTAATATCTGTCTGTGACTTCTCGAAGGATGTCCTAATCTCATCTACGAAAATTCCCCCAAATTATTAAAATTAATTAATTCAATATGATACTAAAATCGCATGAATACCCATTTGCTTTCCACTTGAATCATAAGATAATTATACCACGAAACCCAGAACAAATATAGTATAAAAAAATGTTCAGTTATTTGATCTATATAAGCTTGTTACTTTGACACCTTCTGGAGAGGGGGGAAGTGGAGGTCACGCCTTAACATTTTGTAGGCCACCTTTTTTCTCGATTAATTGATCAAATTATCTTATGACCTAAGTGGAAAGCATTCTATGTATTGCTCGTGAGATTTTAGTTACCTTATTGAATAGACAAAGTTTACCAACCTCCAGATTGAAAACATCCAATTTCCGAGAATTTTCGAAAATAAAAAAATGTTGTAGCTTACAATAAGATGAAGCTATTCACTAAATTTTAGGCAGATGTTAATAATCTGATAAGAAAGGATCTGTACAACGGGCTGATAATATGGTCAAAGTTTCAATAAAAATTATTTAATTTGTTATGAAAATATTCAGTATAATTACTGATTACTGATTAATTACTGAAATAATGTGTGTACTTATATATATATATATATATATATATATATATATATATATATATATATATATATATATATATATATATATATATATATATATATATTTGTCCTTTGAAAAGTAAGTTTACAATTTTACCTATACTCTCGAGTTATTTTGATTTCTCAATTTCATTTTTTTTTTTAACAAAGTGAGTGCTGAAAATGTCAAAATTCAAATAAAATATTTTTTCTTCTTAACATTACACGACTATATATTTCTTGCCTAATATAAAACAATTAAATTTGGCCGCGTGGAAGTAGGGAATAATTACAAAACTAAATTCTTAGTTTTAAATTAAAGATAGCTAAATGTTTGGATATAAATATCGGTAAGACTCTTTTTTATTTTTGCAGTAACAACATTAAAAGAACATTGTTTTTCTAAAAAATAAACAAAATAGATCTGACTCAGAAGATTTTGAACTTTTTTAGATTTAAAGCAGGTTAATAAAGATATTTTTTTATTTTATTTTAGATATAAATGTATGGCAAATATTTTGAGTGTGTTTTAAACAGCAAATATCCGAGAGTTACACAATGAATGAAGGTAATGAAAAACCGATAACATAAATTAATAATCACATTATACAGGGTGTTTCAGGGTTAAGTGGACAAACTGCAAAAATGAACTAAGGAACCTAAAACAAGAAAAAAATTATCACTGAAAATTTTAGACTCCTACAGATTTTAGTTGATATGAATTATTAACGTTATATGAAATAAATAAAACCTATTTATTATTTACAAATAATTTATTAATTAAATGTAAACACTAACATTTATATTAAATGTTGTTCAAATTGTATGTATGTTCGTAAACGCTTTGCTTAGGAGATGGGTTAGATAGAATACTAATATGGCCTCTTATCCCTAACTGTATAACAACTATCGGCAACATAAGGATTAATACCATTTGGAATTAGCATTGGCAACTCTCGATAACATTTATCAGTTTGTAAGAAGCGTTCGCAGAGTACTCATCGTCATGCCTTCCATTTATTGTAGTGTTGAATATGCCGATATGGTGTATGTATACGGTTTTTGCAATGCTAATGCTTATGCCACATCTCGTGTGTGAATATGCCACATCTTCAATCAGAAAGGCTTTCGCAGAGTACTTGTGAAACAATAAAACATATCCAGTGCCGTTCTGCCACTGCTGCTGCTGAAGAAAAATACCGAGTCTGTCTTAATGCTCAAGGAAATCGCTTTGAACAACATTTAATATGAATTTAATGTATAAGTTTGATTAATAATGTAGTTGGAAGAAATAAATAAGTTTTATTTACTTAATATAGCGTAAATTTATTTTATTTATTTTATTTTATGCAATTTGCACCTGCGCAGTTGCGCATCTAGCAAATTTTTTGTATTTTTATTGTCTTGTTGTAATTGCTTGATTTTTTTTTATTGATGTAGTAAGTCTCTTGGCCATTTTCTTCTTAATCTTCGTTGCTCAGGTAACAGGGAGCAGGAGATAGAAAGAACCAGAGGATTGGAGTGATTTTGGGTTGAAGAATGATATGTAGTGTATTTGTCGTGGATGTAGAATTTTACTGTTGGGGTGTTTAAGTCGTTATGTATAGTAGTGTTTGAAATGTACCAAGGTGCGTTAACAATTTTTCGTAAAATTTTTGATTGTGCTGTTTGTATTTTGTTTATGTGTGTTTGTTTTGCTGAACCCCAAAGTTCTGCTCCATATGTCCATATTGGTCTCAGTAATGTGTTGTAGATAAGTCGCTTGTTTCGTAAGTTAAGTGAAGATCTGTAGTCCAGAAGATGTGAAAGTTGGCTATATCGTCTGGTAAGTTCTTGTCTTTTTAATTTCGTATGTATGTTCCAAGTAAGTATTTTGTCTAAGTAGAGTCCAAGGTACCGTACATAGTTCTTTGAAGGCACTGGATTATTGGCAATCGTTATGGGTGGACATGAGGCTTTCCTAAGAGAGAAACTAATGTGGGTGGATTTTGTACTATTAATTTTGATTCTCCAGTTTTCAAACCACTTTTCGAGATCATGAAGATGGTTTTGTAGGGCAATTGATGCGATAGTAGGATTTTTGTGTGAAGTTAGAATAGCAGTGTCGTCAGCGAAGCAATAAATAACGTAAATAATTCATAAAAATGAAAATCTTTAGGCGGGAATGTCTCCTGAACAAAGCGTTTGCGGACATACCTTCATAGGAAATTTTTTTCTTGTTTTGAGTTCCTTAATTCATATTTCAGTTTGGCCACTGAACCCTGCTGAGAGAAAAAATGGATAGTTCCAATTTTATATCTGAGGGCACAAATTCACTACAGAAATATCTTAATATGTTTAATCCCACACGTCCAAGTTAAACGAAATACTTTAAAACAGTGATTGAAAATACTATAGTCTCTTTTTCCAAATCAAAGTTGAAATTCAGAAAAAAATAAATGCAACAACAGACTTAAATTATACACAACATGTCCATGGTTGACATGACCATCAGAAGCCGACTGAAAAGGAGCAGGATGAAAGATCTCCTTTCATGAATTAAAGAAGCAAACAAAGACAAGGAAGATGTGACGCTGAGTGCTATCCTTCCTTATGCATGTCATGCCATTATAATCAATAATGGCATGACAATCCAATTTAAGTCTCCTGATTGTCACTTCTATGACAGGTGCGGATCATAGAAAGTCTATAGAAAAAAATGTATTTTGTTTGAATTAACAACATTGTATTTGATAACTATTATTCCTTCTAATCGAAATGTTTTAAGTTGACAAAAACTTGTATTTTTCAAGTGATGACTGCGAAGAAAGGAAATAATCTAAAAATGAATTGTATCAAATTTTAATCTTAAGAATATTATGCAATGTGCAAACATTGCAATTGAAACAATAATGAGTGCATGGGGTTCTTAGCGAATTTTAATAAAATCTAGGTTAAAACAAAGATTTTTCACTTGAATGATAAGACTCGAAGTAGAACATACGCGTTAATAGTGACATATTATATTTCATCTTCTTGTGTTTATGTTTAAATATCTTAGTATCATTACTTTTTTCTCTATTTATTTGCATATTAATATAAATTTGATGGCATATTATACTAAATGTTATCGTAGTTTTCATTCATTTAAATTTTAAACAATAATTAATATTTTCCAAAAAATGCACATCTACCTTCATTCATTTGATACTTGAGGTACTCATATATATTAAAATTAAAATGTAATGTATATATATGCAGCAATAAATTTTAAAAAAATACACAATAAATATAATAAATGATATAGCGGTTGTTATAGGATCCACTGGAGAGAACTTAGTAGTTCGATAGAAGACTAAATATGGCAGTTTTATTGATTGACCTGAATATGAGAGTTTCGTTTACGGCTGATAAATTATTAAAAAAATATATGTTACGTTCGATTTTCTAATTCTGCTGTTCTACTGTTGAAAGAATAACAAAATCCTTCCTCTGTTTTCTGGAGATGAAAAATATCTTTGCAATTCAGTGGTTTCCCTTTCCAAGTACATATCTCGAATAAGTCGTCTATTTGGTGACCAACCTAAAAAAAAAAAAAAAAAAAAAAAATATTAACAATTAAAATAAAAAGTCATTTTTAGTATCTATTTATAAGTCAAATTATCCAAGATGATAAATAGGCTAGTTTTTCAATATTTTTTTTTTAAAACTTTTATTATGATATTTACAACTGTATTAGTATGAATACATCTAGTAAATTTGTACAGAGAAATATTATTACATGAAACACGCTTGTTGAGAAACTACCCACTGGTAGCACTCTAATAATTTGTCTACATGAGAAGATCACGAGGCCATCTTCTTTTCAGACGCCTCGGAGGGTTATCAGGAATCGAAGAGGAAGCTAGGTTTGAAACAAGAGGATTCGGATGGTTATGAAGTTTATTATGAAAGGATAGGTATCTGGATTTGGCCAAATCGGAAACATATGGAACATTGAGGTCTTTATGGATTATTTTATTAGTGGCAAAGTAAGGAGCATGGAGGATTTTACGAAGGATTTTGGATTGTAATTATTGGATGCGAGAGGAATTCGATGGTTTAGTGGAGCCCCATAGCTCAACTCCGTAAGTCCAAATAGGTCTTATTATAGTCAAGTATATGAGTCTTTTGTAATTAAGGGGAAGTTTAGAGCGTTTGTCTAGTAAGTGTTGGAGTAGTCGGAAACGTCGAGCGGTTTCTTGTCGTTTCAGTCTGGTATGAGGATTCCAAGTTAGACGTTTGTCCAAATGAAGTCCAAGGTATCGGATTTGTTCAACAGGGATAAGTGGGGTATTATTAAAGGATACTCTGGAACATGAGGTCATAGGTTTACGTCGAAGAGTAAAGGTAATTTCATGGGATTTATTAGAATTTATTTTAATCCTCCAGTTTTGGCACCATTCTTCAAGGCTTGTGATGTGTGATTGAAGAGTTTGGGATGCAATGGTTGGGTCATTATTAACGGATAGGACACATGTATCATCGGCATACGTGGTAATAACAGTGTTAGGATGGGTTGGGATATCAGCTGTATAAACTGTGTAAAGGATAGGACCAAGGATACTACCTTGAGGAACTCTGGCAGATTGAGAAAAGAGGGATGAATAGGTATTATTGTGATTTACTTTGAAGCGCCTATCAGTAAGATAGGAACTGATGATAAGAAAATATGTAGGGGGAAGGAATTTACGGAGTTTGTAAAGCAAGTTTTTCAATATAAATTTCTAATTATTCAAAACTGACAATGAAGTCTTCGTCAAGAACATCCACGAGGCAATGTTGCAGATTAAGGTCCTTTATTTTCAATGAGTAACAACATTACATATATTTTTCTAAAATTTTGAAGTTTATTTACTTTTTTCTGCCTGTGGTATTTGTGTTTGATGTCTTAAATTAGTAGATGAGATTCCGTCAATGTTTTGAAACAATTTGAGATGAAAACACACAATATAATGTGTTAAATAAATTTTCTAAAATACAGGTGCATTATTTAATATTAGAATTGTAGGTATTTCATGTTTAGGTGCTTCATTAATAGCATAGAATTTAGTTTTTTCATATATTTGTATTTTTGTTACCAAAAGATAGTTTTTAAGACGGTATGTTATTAATTGGCAGTGATATTAAATATGGCCCAAAAAGATATTACAGTAAATTAAATATTTAATTTAAATTCTTTCTTATCAAGTTCCTTATTTTTTCAGCGATATCGTGATAGATGTCACGTTCAAAAAATCAATGATTTCATAAATTTTCTGACGCAATATTCATTTGAGTACATCAATACATCATTCTACCGCTTTTTGAAATTGTGAGATAATTTTTTTTTTTTATATTTAAATGTATAATTTTACCGAAGTATATCAAATACATATGAACTCTGATATAATGACGTGAATAGACATGTTGAGAAACTAGCCATTTATAACACTCCAATAACAGTTCTGTTCCAGAAGGTTTCGAGACCATCTTTTTTTCAGACGCCTGGGAGGAAGCAAGGCTCGAAAACAGGACCCGTATGGGCCAAGGGTTTTGAAAGGTACCTGGATCAGACCAAATCGACAATATGGAACATTGCGATTATTAAAGATGATTTTATTTATGTCAATTATGAAATTATTATTATTTATGAACTTTCAAGATTTAGTGAAGGATTTCGGATTGTAAGGATTGGATGCGAGAGGAATTCAATAGTTCAGTGAAACTTCAAAGCCTAACTCCTCAAGTTCAAACAGGCCTTATTATAAAAATATAAATGAGCCTCTTGTAATTAATGGGAAGCTAAGAACGTATGTCTAGGGAGTATGGAAGCACAAGGAAGCATCAAGCGGTTTATATTTGTTTCAGACTTGTTTGGAGATTCTAAGTAAGACGTTTGTCTGAGTAAAGTCCTAGAGAGAGGTTCTCTTTAATAAAAATTAATTAGTAAGTGTAATAATATTAAATGATATTGTAATGGTGATAAATATATTAGTTAAACTACATATGAACGTTCCGTCAAAAATAATATGTTAGGGACCAACAGAAATAAATAACAACTAGTGGGCCCGTGCAAATAATTCACAGAAAATTTTTTTCACTGAAAAAATATCAAAACAATATGGAAATAAGTAGTTAGTATGTATTATGTAAGGAAGGAATTAATATTTTTTCTTTGGTTGATTACAATATTCCATTAAACATAATAGACCAAAATATTTGTACAAATTCCTTTGCTAGGTCCTATTTTTAAACGCTGAGTGGAAAGATAATAAAAGTAATAAAGAGAAAATAATTCCATGATCATAGGATTTTCTAGATTATTAAAAAAATGTAAGAACAACCAAATTTATTTAAGAAATAATAAAACTAATATATCAACCAGGAAAAAAAGTGTAGTAGACTATTCTAATTCTAAATGCCGTAATTCTAAATCGTGAAACAGGAAGACATTATTAAGTATACGAAGTATTCCTGTAGTTTATAAGGCACTACATCCCTGCAAAATTTCGTGTGAATATGTGGAAGAATATTGAAGTTGAAATGAAAATTCGTATTCGAGGGTGTTTTGAGCTGCGAAGTACAAATCTGAACTCTCTTCCTCCTTAAAAAAAAATGTCAACACACTTTACTCTTTAAATACAAATTGTTTAAATTTTACATACTTCTAATCGATTTTTACAATTTATTTTGTTTTTTAGGGAATTTAATAATCTTTCTAATTATCATGGGTACAATCCAGAAAAAAATGAATAATGTTTGAGTTCGCAATAAAGTTTCTTTTCCTGCATAACTTTTTTCCAGAAATTTCGGGGAGATGGGACTATTTTTCGCATGTGAAAAGAATATCTTCAAAATGAGTGGTCAATCATTGGATTTGAGGAAGAATTGATGAAGTTATGGCGTACCGACAAAAAAAAACACCTTTTAGACATAAAATATTTGATAGTTAATTTCCTTATATTATGAGAGTTAAGAATTGCTCTTGACATCTATTGGCACTCTATGGAAGCAGAGTATAAAAACGTACTAGAAATAATCCCCTAGAGTCAGGATATGCAGGCAATTTGAACGATTCACATCCGAGATAAGATGTGAATTTTTTCATTTACAATTTAATGCGTAGTAGAGAAAAATATCGTTATTTCGATAATATCGACTATCACTTGCCATTCCTAAGTAGTGTTGAATAGTGCCGTGGGACCCTTCTCGCTCAGTAAACTCAATTTGTTAGTTAGAATCTTCTCAAACAAAGACCATAAATTGTCAAAGAAATTTATGTAGGATGGAAATAAATTAGCACTTCACCGAATCCGATCTGTAGGTGGATAGAAGGCATAATATGTTAAATGGTAATTTCTAGATATAAAAAAAAACTGAGGATGGCGAAGATAGACAGGAAATAGAAAATTAATTTTACTAAAGTGGGTAGAAAAATTGATATTTCATTAATTAATTAATTTAAAGAGGAAAATAACAAATTTTTTCATGCGCCCATGTGCTTCAGATTATTCGTATTCATATTTCTAAATTGTTATATCGATGAAAATGTCAACAATCGATATTTCAAGTTCGTTATTTTCACGTTATCGATACAAGTAAGCCGATAGTTACATCGATGTTGGACCTTTGATATCCCATCCTTAGTCTGAGATCCTGAGATCTCTCAAAATGGATTCATCATTAGAAAAGTTTTTCTTTTGCTTTTGCTAAAGAAGACCATGGAGTAGAAATCTTAAACCGTCAAATAGAGGAAAAATACGAAGACTCAACCATTGCAAGTAAAATCGATTAAAATTAGCCACCAACCTACCTAATTCTAATATAAATTTAATAGTTATATATATATTTTTTATAATGGTTTATTGATAAATATTACAATCTGTCTCAATAAAGGACATTTACAATAGAGTTCTGAGAGCACATTCACACCATATTTACAAATTTAAAAAAATATAAATAAATAAAAAAAATAAGCTAACTTCAAATAATATAAGGCTACAAAAGAACAAAATAAAATATCATAGTGAGAAAAAAATAAACATGAAAATAAACATCTTAGACGCAGACATACCTATTATACTAATAGTTATATTAAAAACATTTCAAAATTGATTCACTAACACATTCATACCAGACCTGGGCCAAATGTATTTTAATTATTATTTAAAATACAATGTATTTTGCGTTTTTAATATAGTGTATTTAAATTACAATTTAATTCATAAAATCACAGAAAAAGTATTTTAAATACAAAGAATAAAATACTCATGTCTAATGTTCCTAGTTTCACTTTACAACTGATTCTTATAAAATGATTATAATTTGCTTTGTGAATCCTGGAGTCTTCATCATGTCGTTAGTACTTTTGTCTTATGTGAAAGGATGCGGAAGTAATGAGGAAAATGTTTGGCAAGATAGGACAAAGCTGTATTCTATAATTAGGGGTGATGTGATTATATCGATATTTTCTATTTGATATCGATTAATATCGTATCGAAACAAAGGATTCGATATTATCTTAATATCGAAAGGAAAGACTAATATCGGATTGCGATATTT